TTCCTGACACTACCTTTTAACCAGAAATACAGGAAATTTAACTCCACCAACCTGTTAAAGGAGAAGAAAAATTGGCTCTCCAGATGGGAGGGCATCTTGGCACAGTTGCATAAATACTTCTTTGATTATTATTTTGCGAGTATCAGCCCCATAGTGCATCCAATATAATATATTAATCAATACAACCAAATCTACACGCCTTCAAATCTCTTTGAAATATCGAAGCAAGTGGCCAATAAACTTACAGCTTAATTAGCCAACAGAAGTACTTATTTTAGGAGGCTCTTTTCAAGAATAAAAGCTGCTCTTAATTCTCAGCCCACTGATTTAAATTTTCCCCACTGTGTAGAAAGCTCCAAAGTGCAACTAGAAACTTATGGTAGCAGTGCAAAATAATAACAACAATATTTCAATATTTCACAAGGATGGGTGCAGTTTAATCTCAGCAAAATAATGATAGAACAAGTGCATTTACTTGGGATTTAGCAACTCGGTGGGGGATTTTTTAATTTCAAAATCAAGCTAATTTCCATATCTAGCAGGTGGCTGTCTTGTGGCCATTTGTACAAGCTCTCACCTCTTTTGGTCTAGTTTTTATTCACTGGGAACAAACGCCCTCCCAGCCCAAATGCTGCTTTATGCTTCAAGCTGATTCATAGGCTTTTTAATATTAGTACAAGCACTCAAGCACTCAGGCAAAAGATTGCCTACAGTCCCTTGGCATATTAACATTTCTGCACAAAAATGTAGTAAATCTGAAAATAAGGTTTTCAAGACAAAGAGTCAAAAACCAAAGCCTGTGAGGGAGATTTTTATGATACCAATCAGTCCCCAGAGACTTAGCTGAAATACAAAAGAATCTACAAATTTGTCTTTTCTTAGGTTTACATTTTTACATGTTAAGACTCTGTGCCTAGGTTGGGGAGAGAGAACTATGCAGTCCTGCAGTGCTGCAAACTCCACCCAGTTTCATCACTTTCTACCCTCATTGGATCGGACTCCACCAACCAGCGACTCCAGCTTCACTGTCACTGGATGGGCCCTCTTGTTTTTCCATTTGTTAAAAAAACATGTCCCACCCTAATTAATGCAGGCATTAGGAAGGGACTTTTTTCCCCTTTATATGTAAGCCTATACTCTGATTGGTATTGTTCAAAGTTGCATTCTTACTGGAGTAATCTGATGGAAGTCAAGTCACTACCCACAACAGTAACCAGTGGGCAAAAAAATCTATGGAGATTCTCAATTATCCAGGTCATGGTTGCCCCAAAAGTCTTTTTCAAAAGGCAACTGGGTTTCCTTGTTTTTCCTTAAAGATGTCTCGCTTTTCATCCAAGAAGCTTCTCAGTTCTGACTGAAGAAGCTTCTTGGATGAGAAGTGAAACATCTTCAAGAAAAAACAAAAAAGTCCAATTGCCTTTCGAAAAAGCACTTTTGGGACAGTGGGCAAACATGAACAGAAGCCAAAATCAGAGCCAGTATTGAGTGGCACCATCCCCTTTCTTTCTCTTCCCACAATCTCCTTCCACCTCCACAGTCTTTCCTTCCTCATACCAACAGGGGGAAAAGCAGTATGTTCTTTCCAGAGATCAAATTATTACAAAGAGCTTTGGGATCTGAAAGTTGTCTATTGCTCATGAACTGCCTGTGAATGGTGTCCCCTCAACTAGAGATCTTTATCTGCCTTTCCAAAAATGTTTTTGAAAAATAGGGAGGTTGTTTGCTTTCATTCATCTTATGCTAATCAGGTCTCAGGTGAACAGCCCCATTATTTTGCCTCAACCACAACATTCCCTACTTCCAAGATTGTTTCTACCATCAATTGAACAAGCTCCATGTTTTCAACTCCATTTCCTTGCCTCTTGTCCTACTGGAAAATGTCAAGGTGCAGCTTCCTATTCAATGTAGGAATCCAACTTAAAATATTTCAGAGAAATGGCTTTCTAGCCTTCTATAGATACTTGCCAACTGTCATCATAGCTCCTACTTCCTTGTTTACAGCCTAGAAATTGATAACCATTGGATGCTATAAAAGAAATCTTAGATCAAGGGTATGGAATGCTTGTAGGGATTACTAGATGAAGACTCCCTAGCCCAGACATTGGATGTTGTCCAAATGCTCTCCCATCCAAGTCATCATTCTCCTCATCTATCTTTTCTCCATTCTCAATTCCCCAAATAAAGAAAAGTATATCCTTTGCTTCCACATATATCACAAATATTCTATATATAATAACAATATTTATGAGAGTTAATCAGTCCAGTTAAAATTTCAAAATTTATCTGATCACCTAATAAAAGATCTTTTAATGGAAGTGGATTTGGATTAAAGATTCTGCAGCAGGGCCAATAATGGCGTTCCTTAAGTGATGGAAATGTGAGAATACTGAAAACAGGAAGTCTTTTAATGACTCCTGGTGATCTTATACAGTAATTGGGAGCTCATTTTCTGTGTGTAGATCCTTAGGCACTTAAAAGGGTACAACCCAAACAAAAAGAGGAAATAGTATCAGTTGGCCTGGGGGCGGGGGGGTGCAACTATTTTCAGAGGTACAGAACAGCTACAGTGAATAAAACCTAAACTGGGGTGGAGAAAAATTGAATATGTGCAGAAATTAGAATATCAGCCTGCCAGGAGAAAAAAAATAGATGGAATGAAGCCTTCTGGATTAAAGAATTCCAGGATCCACTCAGGAACTTTGTGGCAGCCACTGAAGAAGTTGAGTAAGGGCAATAGGTTTCCAGCCAGCCTTTTATTGGAAAAGGAAATTAGAAGAATAGCCATGCCAATTTCTACTAAGAGCTTTCTTCAAAATAGCATTTTAATGACAATATTATTCAAACACCAAAGACAGCCACTAGGTTGTTTCTTCTAAAATAGTTGGCACTAGCTAAATGGCATGTTCATCTAACAACCATGAAATAATCTGAGGAAATATAACCGACTTGCCATTGTTGGATAAATGACTAATTATACTTTCCCTCTGCCATCATATGAAAACTTTCACTTGGGAAGTTGATTGTAAAGACTAATACTGTGAATTTTAAAAGAACGTGGAAGGAATTACTAACATTATTGGTAACTTTTTTTAAATCATGGCAAAGCAATGTTGAAAGTTATTAAAGTAGTACATCTGCTTGATTACCCCACCGTTAAATATTTTCCAGCAAATCCAGAAGCAGCCTGCCTTCCTACTTAGAGCTGAGCCCTGACTCTGTTTCATCAATACCTGAGCCAAGAACCCCAGTTCATTCATACAGCAGCAATTAATCAGACAGGAAGAAAGGAAACTAGTTCATGTTTAGGCTGAGGGCTATGGTACCTTTAAAAATCGGTGGAAGAGAATTTTGAACAGCTTATGATTCAGGATTGGAAGAAGCTTTTTTTAAAAAAAAAATCTATATACAGTAGTAGAAAAAAGTACAGTGCAGCATCCTTATCCCCCCCCCTTCCCATTTTCCATCCAGTTCCAGAGGCTGCTTAAGACACTATTGTACATTTGCAATAAACTATTGATAATAGGAAGGGAAGCAGGAAAGTGGAAGACAAGCCATCTTAGTTAACAGCCTTTTAAAGCAGACCTATGCAGAGAGATAGCCACACCTAAATGTATAAGTCAAGCTGGGAATTGATTTCCTCGGTATTTTTAAACTAGGGTTCAATAGATGAAACATTGTAGATCATCCTCTATGACACATAAATGAGAGGGAGGAAATCTATTCCCAAATCAGTTTTTTTTAAAATCATTCCAATCTTTCATCTCCTACTTCTGCTTCCAAAGATAAAATGCAGAATGGTTATTTGGTGTTGTGTAATTTAACATCTCTAGATGCTAACTTAATCCAATGTCAACAATTCTTTTGGTCGAAGCTATCTAAAAAATGTTTATGGAGCCCACCTGAAGTGTCTGAATAACTTCACATCTTCAAAATAACATGTTCCCCCAGAACAAATAAATATGACTTCTAACATGGTCCAGATTCTGAGAATTTCATTTGAAATCCGAAAGTCTCTCCATGAATAAGAATGGATACTTAGGAAATAAAGATAGAAAAAGGAAGAAAGGCCATTAAAAGATTAATATAAGTCCATCAAGATCAGACATTCTTGGTATTCACCTTCAAGAGTATTCCAAGCTGCTTTATACTGCAGAAGTGTTTAAATGACATAAAGCAAATCAAGAAATCACGGTGGTTATAGTGAATCAAAGGGGTGGGGGGGAGAAATAGGACATCACCAGATTGTTTTCAGTCCTGCACTTTTTAATGAAATTGCTTTTAGCTATGATTCTGGAGAGCTTCCGGATAGCCTCGGTCTGTAAGAGATGTGAAGTCTGAAAGGAAGACCTGAAAGAAGGTCTCCCCAACCTCGACGCCTCCCCACCTCCTCGCTTTTCTCTTCTTCTCCGAGGATCTCACCACAGCCTCTGCAAAGACTTCCCAGGTCTGCATAGCGCCAAAATCTCGGTGCTAAGGGAGGGGGAAGCCCTTGAGAAATCGGGCTGGGGAAAGTGGAAAAGCTCGGACAACGGGAAGAGATTCCCACGAAAAAGGGGGGGACGCCAAGAGCCCGTTGCAACCAAGCTGTGTGCGCAGCCCTCCCAACGCCCACTCCGGGGCACAAAAACCGATTCGGGTGGTTTTGGTTTCCAGCCCAACCCGGAGCAAGAAGCCTGCCCAAAAGGCACCTGCAAACCGCCCCAGTCATCGGTTCAGCTACGTTTCTCTCTCCAAGACATCTCGGGCACTTTCTTCTGCAGGACTTTGAGGCGATGCCTGGCTATGGGAAGCTTTCCCAGCCAAAGGCAGCATCACTTCAGCCTAAAGCTCGCCGCGTCCCCACCCTGCTCGGAACCAGGCTGGCCCAGCCTCTCCCCTCCAAAAGCCCGGAAGATCCCATGAGTGCAGTCCTGCATTGGAGAATCCCCCTTCCCAGCTTCGGGTTCTCGCTCCCCCACCCCGCCGAGTCGCCCTCGCACCCCCGCTGGCTTCCTCCTTACCGTTGGACCTCCGCACGATATTCTCCAGGAAGGTGTTCTGTGGAGCCACCAGCCCTCTCCTTCCCCCAGCCATAGTCAGGCTCGCTAGCTAACCGGGGTCGGCCAAGCTAAGCGTAGCCTCTCCACTCTTCTTCCCGCTCAGCGCTCCTCATGGTCCCCACCGGGAAAGGCGGGCGGCTTTGCAGCATCAGCTTCTCTCGCTTGCCCAGCAGTCAGCAACCCTCCCTTGCGCTGCATTCTTGCCGCTCCGCGCCACCGGGTCTGGACCTGTCCGGCAGCGCCCTCTGCTGTTCCGCGGCCACCCACACCGAACATGCTTCTGCTGGACCGGAGCGGCGAAGGGCCACTCTCTGCTCAGGGGCCGGTGGGATTCCGTGGACCGAGGCGCCTTCGTAAAACCTGTGGGCTGCAGCGCCCTCCTTTGGATGCCAACATCCATTGCGCACGAGAGTGCGGGACGGGAGTGGAAATGTTGCTTCCCTATTGCTGCACTTCCAGGCTGATCTTGGGTTCCGCGCATGGGTATTCTGTGTTTACTTCTCAGAATAATTGAACTTACTTCCAATATCCCTTTGATTTGGTCAGGGTTGGTTCAAGACATAATTGCTCACATACGAATTAAGCCAGAAAGCCTACTCTTTAAAGTACCCTTGAACATGTGGTTTCCTCTCCCAATTCCTCCATCCTCGCTTCTGCAGATCTTGTAATGTTGTGAATGTGTGGGGAACATTAGGACTCAGTTTGCTTCTATACTCAATAGGGGTATCCTTAAAGTTATCCCAGCAATGATCCATTCTCTGAACTACCACAGATCTCAAAGGGACAAAAGTCTCCATCCCATCATTCCACATGAAAGGGAAATAAAATAAATTGCTAGCACCCCATTGCTAATCCACATTAGATATTAGTCTTCATTATTTGCAGCACCAAATACAACAAGCAAAGGAAGTTGAGAAAGAGCCGTTTTCCTCTTGCATTTATAAAGAGCATTCCTCATTGCTCTTATGACTGCCCTGTTGCTTCCTTAAGGCCTCCTTGGCTCAAACTGGTGTTTTCATTTAAGGAATTGCCAAAAGTTCCCAGAAGGGTACCCGTGCCAGATCAATGGCACCTTTTCACATTTGGAATTGGACTATTATACTTCTCTAATTCTGGACAATATGGAAGCCAGTCACCTGCAAGGTCTGCACAGCTGTAGATTTACAAAAGAGAAAGCCAGTTTTGGTCTCTTTTCAGATAGTGAAATAGAAACAAGGTAGAGAAAAAAATCTTCCCCTCTTAAACCAGTGAGGTTGTAGGAATGGTGATTAAGAACTCGCACAAGGAATCTGTGTGAACATATCCTTTTATCTGCCATCATCACCATTGTGATATGATGTCCTAAAGAAAATGTTTTCCATTAGCTGCACACCTAAGTCCTAGAAGTTCCAAGCCAATAATGAGTACATTAAAGCCTACACAGAAATGTCAAATGAACATGAAATAAATATCTCTCTAAAAACAAGTTGTTCCAGAACTGAAGCAGACCAAAGACCCAGATCCAGCATCTAAGAAGTCCACATGTTGAGGACAGATGCATCCATATTATCCTAATTCCTGTTCCTTTGCAGTTGATCCTGGGAAGCAAATTGATTCTGTCAGAGCAAGTCATATGGAATAGTTACAACGGTGCAGTTCTGCAAATTTGAAGAGGGATATTGGCGACGGACATCTGTCAGCCACTCTTTTAATCAAACACAGCCTAATAAAGACTGGACAGTAATGTTAAGAATCTGTCGGTAAAGAAAGTAGAACAGTGTGTGATAGGGACAGAAAAGGGATGGATTATCTTGAAAGGGGCTAGAACTTCCTATTCAGGCTTGAACTGTATATAAGGGCAATCCAGCCAAACATTTTCTTGTAAATTCCACTTAAAAAGTATAACATGAAAAAAAGAAAATGTTACATTATTTGATAGAATAGCTCTAGGTCAAAATAAAAACTGTTTTGTGCAGAATTAAAGACATTTAACATGATTTTGACAATATTTAGATATAATGGTAAGCCATAATTAAGCTGTGTAATAGTAAACCCCCTTCATCCAGCAGAAACATATGAAAATTGAACATTTCCAACTATATAAATTGTGGTTAATCCTAGGGCAAATTAATTTATTCTAAATAAACAAGCTACAGTAGACATAACCTGGTTTCAGTTATCGTAGTTAGACTGGGATTGGATGTATATGTAAAAAGCAAGCACAGGTTTCTAAATTTTATGATACTATATATGTAGGTGCAGTGTGATATTGTAGCATTGTCTAAGTAGCCGCATAAGTGAAGTTCTACAGCAGCTTTCCTTTTCAGCTTTACACAATCAGTCTTCCCATGCCCAATGCCTTCCAACCTTAGAGCAAACATTGCTTGGAATTAACCATGTTCTCTTTTTCCCTTTGTACTCTATGTAAATGTTTAAATAAACTAAAGTTTATTTGCACCCATGCTTAAACATTTACATAGACTTGATGGCCAATTTAATTTAATGTGATACATTGGGGACAGCTCTCTAAAAAGTGGGGACAAGTCCTATTTGAGAAAAGGGTTAAAATGTTGCCTGAAACATTTGCAAGACATTTTTCCCCTTAAAGCTTGCAAGCTGCTTTCCATATTTTTGCTTCTCAGCTATGGGAGGTTTTGGGAATCATAAAATGGATATTGAAGAACCATTCTTGCATCTTATCATTTTTCTAGGTAAATATCCTCTGCAACAGGCTTAGTTAATGTAACTGTATTTTAAATATTTATAAAATAGCAACACTTGTTATTGTGGATGCAATTTCACAGTTCATTTATTTATGTTTGTTTATTTGACTTGTATGCCAACCATTTCGCCTAAAGGTGACCAGAACCCCTCCTTCTGCCAGCAATAAAAGAACAACAGCTGTGGTAAAACAAAGGGACAGAGCTCTATTAAAATCTGTGGATGTTAGAAGAAATATAAAACTACCATCTCTGATTAAAATTTTGCATTTCCAGGAATCTGGAGGAGATCCAAATAAAGCAGAGGAACTGTTACTTCCGAAAAAAAAAATTTCTGTAGAAATTCTCATAGTGAAGAATTTGTACTAAAATTATTTTATGTTTATTGTGTTCTCCCAAAGCCTCTATATCCCTCCATTGTAGAACTGGGTGTTTAAACTTCAGCCTTAATCCATTCCTCAAGCTGCATGCATGAAGTTACATTTCTTTAGCTTTTATAATGTGCAGTGAAATGTGTATAGCATCTTCTCTGAAATTTAGATAAATATCTATTTGTAATAGATCAGAGCCATCTTGTGATTTATCCAGAGCATTACATTTTATTTTGGACTTTTTCTTTTAATTGATTTGTAAGAAGTTGGTCATAATCTAAGCAATTCTGTAATCTCCTGCAGTGTCAAATGTTTGCCTAATAAAATTTAAAGGGAAAAAGGAAGAATACATTTTGCATTTTATTTTTTGAAACAAAGTTGTATTTTGTTTATCTCTTGTGAGATATGGAAGGAATGTCGGAATCCACTAGACCAGGCATGTCAAACTCGCGACGTCACATTTAGTCGTGTGACATATCGCAACTTTCTCCCCATTGCCGGCCATGGGGTGGGCATGGTTTCGTCATGACGCATCCGGTGTGCAGGTGGCAGTTTGACATGCCTGCACTAAACCATGTCTTTAATCTAATAGGTCACATTATCAAATGTTTGCCATTTTAATCATCAGAAGAAAGACACTTTTCTCTGTCACTCACTGAAATTAAGTGGTAGATACTATGTGAGTTACCTCCTTGAAGATATGTGATAACAAAAGGAACTGTGAAGTTGCTACCCACAGGAATTGAGATCCAACAGGCTTATAGGAGAGGAGTTTTGAGACATCCAATCTTACATCCCATTGCTTAAGTCATCTGTTATACTTTTATCATGCAGTTCCAAGATTAGAAAACTCTGCAAACTTTTGTCATATCAGGGTCTGTTCACTGTATGAAGACATCATGTTTTCATAACACAAATCAAGGTAAAGCTAAGGAGAAAAGTTAGTAATTTGAATGCAATACTTTCTGGTGGCTTGATGTTTAGCAGGGAGAGAGTTTAAACTTCAGAGTAAGTATTCCCTTGTTAGAAGAACCTTGAGCATCTGGCCTCATGTTCTGTGATTCTTGCCTGGAATCCAGTGATTTATAATCCTGGCTGGCTAAGAGACTTTATCTCTTCCTTCTCTTGGCAATGCAAATCTTCAGCTTTGCCTTGGATTGCTTGACTTGGAATTTGCCTTGTCCAGCTAAGTCCTCATCTACAATAATTCTTGTATTCCTGCTTTTGCCTTTTTTTCTGCTATCTCCTGCTGCTTTGCTATTGGGAAGTGTAGCAACAAATCCTCCTTTTAACACTGTGTGTGGCTAAGAACTATGCCAAACTCCTGAAGTGCTGCTAATAAAGCCAGGATGTGAAAGTCAGACTGTGGAAGGAGAGTCATTAGGACCTAGAATACAGAGAACATTTGTTGCAGGAGTATTTGTGTTCTACATGCTCTATTTCCTCCAGCAAAAAATAATAAATTGCTTTTGCTGGAGGGAAAAGGACACAAAAAAATATAACAAGATGACAGAAAAGATCATAGGGAATAATAGAAAGCAGCAGGTAATGCACCTACAGCATTTTCAGGCTCAGCCTGGACCAATGAACATCAGTTTCTCAGGGAGCTTTCTGTTGCTTGCTACTTCCCAAAATTCATTTGAGACAACTGGTGATCAGCTGTCCAAGACAGAGGAGACACTAGTAGGAGTGACTTGGGTTCTTAAGATGTTATCTTCCTCACTGAAACCTTGCTTTAACTAAGCCACTATTGCTGGCAGAGAACAGTGATCATGAGTGAGATTGGAAATAACCTCTGAGGCATTTTTCAAAAAAAAAAGTAAGAAACTGTACCTGAGCAAGAAGCAGATACCCTGCGATACATAGACTCATGCATCCTTCATGAGCTTTCAAGCCCCAGTGAGGATGTAAATGATGAAAAAAATACTATACCTGATGTTCAGTTAGAGTGCAGATACAGCTACCGTGTTTTCCCGAAAATAAGACCCAGTCTTAATTTTTTTTTGCCTCCAAGAGGCACCAGGTCTTATTTTTGGGGGGTGTCTTTTCCATTCACCTCGTGGCGATGGCACTGACAGCCC